ATTCTTATGGATTTGTACCATATAAATCAATCTTTATTGTTTCCATTTACGTATATTTCTGATAGCTATTTAAATTTTAACAGGCACGAGTGCATCGGAAGACTAAAAAGCTCTCAAGACCAGAGATCGTGTTAAGCGATGAACAATTTATTGATTTGGCCAAAAGGTACGAAACACATCCATGCCTCTGGAATGAAAATGAGATAGCATACAGATTCACTAACAGGCGTCGTGAAGCCTTGGAGAATATACTTCAGGAATTTAATAAAAAGTTTGATATAAACTTAACTAAACCTGATCTGGAAAAGAAACTTTCTCGACTACGCAAAATATGTTCATACGAAAAGAATCAAAAAATAGAATGTAAACAAAGCAAAAGTATTTATAAACCAACATGCCCATATTATAAGCACTTGGCGTTTGCTGAGGTCGATGTTAATCCTTTTGAATGCTCAGTTTGTGGAAATTTACTTCCTAGTCAAAACCAGTACAAAATACATTTAGCATCCCATGACGGATCGCCACCATATAAATGTATTGTTTGTGGACATGGATTTCAGAAGTCAGATAATTTAACGGTACATTTGCGGAGGCATGCACAAGACTACAGCTACACCTGTGAGGTGTGCAACAGGCCTATTGCAACCTCAACTGAGTTAAAAGCCCATATGCTTATCCACACTGGCGAAAAACCGTATGTTTGTGATATTTGCGGCAAGAGTTTCAAAAAGCTATACGATTTTAAAGAACATTTGCTACGACATGAGGAACGCAAAATTCACAAATGTACAATTTGTCCAAAGGCCTTTTATACTAGAAGAATGTTTAGGGAACACAAGGCCACTCATTTGAAGGTGCGGGACAAAATATGCAGCGTTTGCAATAAAGGATTTACAACTCGGAAACAACTTCGTCAACACAAAGACATTCATGATGCAGCAAAGAAATTTGTTTGCAAGATTTGTGGGAAGCGTTTTGCCCAATCCGCTGGACTATGTGCACACATAAAATCGCATGGAACAGCATTATCTTCTAAGATTGCTAATTATGAATAATTTTTTTATTTATTTGTGCTTTGTTTTATAATTAAAATCCATACATACAATATGTAATATCTTTCTTACCATGAAGTTGTAATTTAATTTTATTTCGAAGATTGATCCTTTTTTCATACAACATTAGACATTGAAATTTAAGCAGGGACCGAAAATGACCGTTGAATATTAAGATTTTTATTTTTTGCGTATTAAAAAATCGTTCTTTGATTTTTATTTTTCCGATCAAGAATAAGCGTTAAATTTAGATTGTTGTTTTTTTGGGTAAATTGGATTCTTATTTTTTCGATCGTTTGCAAACCTTATAAGGCAGACTGCGTTTTGTATGACTGATTTAAATCTTTTCTGGTCTAAAATATTAAATCTGAAAATAACGGTTATATGATCAAAAAAGCATAAAAGATAACGGTTAGGTTTTAAAGATCATAACCGTTATGGTCCCTGAATTAAAGTGAATAATATGTTTTATGTTTCCCATGTTAAAATATTAGGTATCAAATTAAAGCGCTTGGCCTGTAGATGTTTTATTTTTTCGAAAAGAATTGCCACCTGATATAATTAATTCCATTTATTGAGTAAGTCAAATCAGTTATTACATAATGGGTATAGCTTTTGATCTAACTTTCGGCCGATTACCGAAGCTGAAGCGGATGATTTACTTTAAAATTTTTTCAAAGAATAAGCCTTTTTAAGTGTACTTAAATACAAAATACATATAAGCGTATTTATCTTTTGTGTTTTGACAAAAAAATTCTAATTTTCTTAAAATAATTGCAGTCACAGTTCAGTTTCTAAGCAAAGTGATTGTTATGCAGCGAATATATTTGTTTATATGAACGTTAATAATATTATAATAATATTTTGGCGCTTACACTTTTGCTAAGTGTTTGGCCGAAGTTCTCCTCTAATTTTTGGTGTGCGTCTTGATGTTGTAACAAAAATGGAGGGACTTATAGTTTTATGCCGCTTCCGAATGCCAAATGGCTTTCATCACCATGCACTATGGTTGAAATAAGCACTTTCTATTGTCAAAAGTCCAATTTTCAGTTTTTACTTTCAAAATTTTTAACAGGCGGACTTTGTTCTAGATACTCTAATAGAAATGAAATTATAAATTTATGACCGTAAGGTAACCTTGGTCCCCTATCTGCCGACGTAAAGTTTGTGGTTTTGTTTTTAGTTTGGGCTAGAATTTTATTATGTTGAACTGTAGTGCTAGTTGGATGTGTTTTATTTAAAAAAAAAAAACAAGAAAAAACAAAAAAATATTCCGACGAACTGATAACCTCCTCCTCTTTTGGAAGTCCGTTAAAAATAAATGTAATTTTAGACGATGTTACATATTTTGAAATTGTGGAAATTATTGATTGTGAAAATTTAAAATATTTAGAGAAATATGAGGGGTTTTTCTTCTGTGACCAAAAATTGGGACATTTCTAAATCATCGAGGCCGAACAAACAATTTTGTTTTAAGAATAAAAAGACATAAAAGATAAACAGAACAAAGAGAAAAAAATTTAAACATTATCGCAAAACTCTATACACACAATATATGGCGAGAATGTATAAAGGGAAAAGACATTTTAGCAAGTTTTGGCTACTTTTTTTTGCTTAAGAAATGTTTATAATTTTTTTATGAAAATATAGCTTACTATCTACAAAAAAACATGTAAGTAAAAATTAAAAGCTTTTTAGAAAGTTTTTAAAAATTTGACGAATTTTAACAAATTTTGGTCAAAATTTTAAACATTTTAAACAGATTTTCTAGATTTCTCTTGAGTATGCAAATTTGTAGCCCATTATATCCAAAGTACTGTGTTTAAACATTTGTTTTGTATGGAGAAAATGAGCAACTCCTACCACAAAAAAGTTTCCAAAAAATCTACTCATACTCATAGGGCTGGCTTCTCCAACTCAACTTAATTTAGTTTAGCCAAATTTTTAGACTTAGTCAAGTGGCTAAACTAAGTTAAGTTGAGTTGGAGAAACCAGCCCATAATGTTTCTAAGAAATCTAATTAAAAAGCTCAAAATATTGAGGAATCGTTGTCGAATTTTGCTCATTTTTATACAAAGTTTGAAATTTCGCTTTCATGGTCTTTGTTAGATAACGAGGTACACTTTCGTAAAAAATAATAAACATAAATATTAAACATTAAATAGAGGAATAGCCAAAGAATGCTAAATGTCTCTTCCCTATTTATATTTTCGCCACTGTATCTACAGCTTATATTTTTTATATCCATTATTTTTTTCGAGCGAATTATGTAGTATTATTTTTTATAATTTCACTAAATTCAAGTTAGAATCGTTTAATTAAAAACACTTAAAACACAGTTATAAAGACCTTACAAAATTTAGACAATATAGCGAGAGCTATATTGACAGAATAAACAACCAAAGAAAACAAGGATGCTGGCTATGTTTATGGCTCACTTATATGTCCTTTGTGATGACGAAAGTGCTGCCGCGTTTGTACGAAAAATTATTGTTGGGCCAGAGTACAGGGAGACTTATTAAATTAATAAATAAAGCCCTGAAAATCGGGACTCAATCGGTACAAATATGAAAAATCGGGATACTTATACATCCCGACTTTTAAAAAATATTCAGCGCAATGTGCATATCAAATTTGGTCGAAATCGGTCCAGTAAATTTTGAGATACACAAATATCATATAAGAAGGCGGTGCCACCCCCATTTCCCTAAAATTTCTTGAAAAAGCACTATTTTGCTAAATAGCTATTGTAACTATATATAAATTTTGAATAAATATTGATGATGATGATCTAGAACAAAAATATGGGTACCAAATGCAAGAGGAAATTTCTTTAGAATTTAAAAAAATTTAAATGTTTTGGACTCACAAGGACGAATAGGTAATTTTTTAAGCAGATAAAATTAGAAGGATGAAATTCGAGGATGTTATCGAGTTTATATAAGTGCTTAACATACAATTTTTTCAAGAACAATATTTCGAAATTTCAAGAATAAAATTTTAAAATAACATTTTCAATACTTACCAGTGATTATGCACCAACAAATTTAATCTGTTTAAGTTCTATGGGATTTTCTCTTTAATTTGATACCAATACTTCTTCTCTAAGAACATTTCATTGAATTTTTTAAATCATTTTTGGATTACTGACGTCGGAGTTAAAAACCAAAATCGCAATTTTATTATATTTGGCCCATGGTTTCGCGAATATTTTGATTTTTTTGTGTAAAATTTACCACCGCACGGTGTTATATGTATGGGCTAGACATTTATAAAAAAAATATTAATTATTAAATAAAAAAAAAATATTAAATAAAAAAATTGCAGAGAAAATTTGCAAAGTTAGGCAACTCCTCATTTATTGAAATCGCATAAAAACCTTCTTTAAAAGGGGATCCCGGGATTAACATTCATAAAAGTTGCCTAACTTCGACAATTTTTATGTTTGACAAGTAATTTTTAGCAAAAAACTACTTCAATTCTCATATAAATATATAAATATATATATCTCATGATCCATTGATCGGATCTAAACCAGATTATTATGGGACCACCTCTGAGACACTACCTTTCCGAAGCAAAAAATCGGTTGACGTGGTCCAAAGTTATGCGGTAACATACATAATACTAAAGTAAGTACTAAAGATTAGAAATTGATTCGACAAGGATTATAGACATGAGCCACTTAACAGTAATAACAGTCTTTATTTTTTGAAAATAAACTGTACAAAACAATTTCCATTTGCTCATCGATCATCATATCATTTGTGGTTTTGTACAGTTTTGTACATAGTCAGAAACAAATTGTAAGATTCACTGTCATTTTCCCCAACGCGAAACGTTTGCTTTTCGTTTGTGACAATTGTACCATATAGTACGTTTTATTATGTATGCAAACGTTTCAATTACAAGAAAAATATTTTTTTCTGTAAATTTTCATATCCAATTCAATTAAAAAACATTTTTATTTTTTTTATTCATTGCAGCCATTCGTTTTGTATATAGTTATTGCATATATGTACATACATTCATATATTTTTCTCTGCACGATTCATTTCGTTTGTTGTTTCGTATGTAACTACTACCTACTGTAGTGTACTATCGCCAAAGTGAACTCAGCCGTTTTGTTTTCATATTGTACCGAACTGTTAAAGTAATAAACGAAACGAAATAGCAACGTACAATATAGTTTATTTTCGTACACTGCCGATGAGCAAACGGGAATTGTTTTGTACAGTTTATTTTCGTACTCTACTCAACTATATAAAATTCATATATGTAATACTTCTATATTGATAGTAAGCTAACATCTCAATGTGTAAGCATTCCGAAATCAAAGCGAGACAGTCTAGTACTATTTTTGTCAATGTATTGTGTACTTGAGTGCCGGTTTTGTATATGTGTTGTGTACATGTTTATTTATAAATGTGTGTGTTCCTTTTCTTTCGTACGTGTTTATTGATATATCTGTACTGTAGTGTTTTTGGACGGTTTTAGCTCTTACTGCCAATATAGGAGTATTACATATATGATAAAATTACCCATTTCTTCCCATGTGGTGTGGTTTAAGCTTCATTTAATAAAATATTCTTATGGATTTGTACCATATAAATCAATCTTTATTGTTTCCATT